TCAGCAGGATAAGAACTAAGTGGGGAGCTCAGCTCTAAGGGAGTGTTTGTATCAAGCTGTATTTAGAAGAAACACAGACATGCTTTGCAGTGTATCAGTGCAGGAAGAGGTGATGGGGAAAGGGATAGATCTCTGGTTGGGAGTCAGGACAAGAGTACCACTGATGAATTGGAGAACCCAGCAGAAGTATGTTTAGGGATGTATTAACCACATGTTTCTGATGTTTTGACAACTGGGGCTTTGTTAACCCTCGAGGGATTGCCCCTGCTGGTGCTAGTCAATTTCTAGAGATTCTAAGGGATCTGCCTGCAAGCCTGCCCGTCATATTGCAAATCGATCAGCCCAAACCGCTTCCTTTATCAAACTCTTACTCTCTGGACCATTATCCTGCTCTCATCACCCCGGGGCCAGGTACCAGAAAACCAGAGACAACCACCAGAGCACACCCCAGAGCATTCTGAAATCATTCAAACTAGACAGTCCTCAGTCTGCTTACCCTGCCTGTTCCTTCCCACATAAACCACAAAATCTCTTGCCCAGGTTTCCTCCTCACTCCTTCTGCCTCTTGACAGACCCTTGTGCTGCCTCTCATGGCCCTGCATGGTGTGGCATGCCCCCTCCTCTTGGGAACTGTAATACCTGTCTTTTTTGTGGCAATCGTCCCCTGATCTGTTGGCCTCACATAGAGGAATAATAATAAATCCTACATTTTCAAAGAAGCAGGAAGGGGAAGAGCTCATTTCTGGACATGCTGAATGGAGCATGGCTGTGGGCCACCCCGGGAGATATGCAGGGCAGGCTGCATTGCCAGGATGCCCATGTCACTCACCAGGGAAGTTGGTCCTATGGCAGGGTGGATGTCCTCCGTACCCACTGCAGTCCTGGCTGCTTTCTTCCTGTAGGTCTTCACTCTGTTGGGAGACACTAGGGTCTGTGACACAGGGTATCTCTTTTGAGGCTGGAGTGAGTGACTAAGGCAGGTCAGGAGTAGGGCAAGCCCAATATATCCAGAGAAAACCATAATTCGAAAAGATACACGCACCCCAACGTTCATAGCAGCACATTTACAATAGCCTGGACATGGAAGCAACCTAAATGTCCATCGACAGAGGAATGGATAAAGAAGATGTGGCACATAAATACAATAGAATATTACTCAGCCATGAAAAAGAACAAAACAATGCCATTTTCTGGGACATGGATGGACCTAGAGATTGTCATACTGAGTGAAGTAAGTCAGGCAGAGAGAGACAAATGTCATATGATATGGCTTATATGTGGAATCTAAAAAAATGGTACAAATGGACTTATTTACAAAACAGAAATAGAGTCACAGATGCAGAAAACAAACTTATGGTTACTAAGGGGGAAAAGGGGTGGGATAAATTGAGAGATTGGGATTGACATATACACACTGCTATATATAAAGAAGATAACTAATAAGGACCTACTACATAGCACAGGGAACTCTACTCAATACTTTGTAATGACATATGGGAATAGAATCTAAAAGAGAGTGGATATATGTGTATGCATAACGTATTCAATTTGCTGTACACCAGAAACTAACACAACATTGTAAATCAACTCTACTCCAATAAAAATTTAAAAAATAAAAATTAAAAGGGTAGAGGGAGCCCAGGAGCCTTTATAACAAGACTGTAACAAGGTCCCTTCTCCCTCCCGGCTTCTGGATCTGGGACCAGGGCTGGGAACACACTCATGCCTGGCTAGGTGTCTACTAGCTGGATCCTCACTACCCCTGCACGGCCCCACCCTTGCTCTGGGTCCTCACAACCCCTCCAGGCCCCTCTTGTCCTCCACTGGCCCACACCCAACCCAACTCACGTGCAGAAGAGGAGGCACAGGCAGAGAACAAGCAGCATGGTGACACCAGCTCCCCCAAGGGCCCCCTCAATCACTGCTGCCCTGGTCCCCGATTTTCCTGCAGACAAGAGAGACCTGAGGAGAATTCCAATCTTGATGAGCAGGCATAAGTCTTCTCATCTCCTTAGCAGGTAGAGAGGGGTGCCCCTCTCTTCCCACCGAGGGTTCAGCCCCTAGGTTCCCCCATCATTTGTAGGACCTGAGCCTTTTCCAGAAGGGCGCAGTCTATGCCACACTTCCTCTCCAGCCCACATACTCCCAACAAAGTTCAGCTCTTCGTGGAGTCAGCTATTTCTCCATCCAGGGTCTCTCTGCAAAAGACTCCAGACCTGGCCACAGCAGAGCCATGAGGTTCTGTGCCCCGTGGACATTCCAGACAGACAGACAAACAGAGAGCACTGTGGCATGCTGAAGGGCCTTGTCTCTCCTTCCTTCCAGGGAGGGGGTCTAAATCTGCTCTCCTGGCCTCTATTGGCCCTGTCACTCAGGGTTCACGGTGATCTTTTGTGCCTTCAGAAGGAGGTGGAAGCAGGAAGCTTCTCAGACCTCCAGGTCAGACCCAGACAGCTCTCCTGGCCCTGCCTGGTGGCACCCCAACACCCAGGGCAAGGGATGTGCGTCTGGGCATCACCTGTCAACGGTTTGGTGGGCACTGCTGAGACAGCCCTAATGGGGCTCTGTCCAGATGGGGGACCAGATGTTATGACCAGTGGGAATACAGCAGTGAGGGGAGCGCTGGGCTCCAGAGAGGGGTCAGGGTGAGAGCTGAGGGCTGACAGTCAAAAACATGGTCCAAAGAGATGTTGGGACAATGAAACTATTCTGTATGATACTATAATGACAGATATATGTCATTACACATTTGTCCAAACCCATGAAATGTACAACACCAAGAGTGAGCCCTAATGTCAATTATGCACTTTGGTTGAAAATGATGTGTCAATGGAGATTCATCGATTGTAACAGGTACCCTCTGGTGGGGCAGGCTGTTGCGGGGAGGCCGTGCGTGTGTGGGAAAGTGCAGCGGGGACAAGGGAAGTCTCTTTACCTTCTGACAACTCTGCTACAAACCTAAATCAGTTCCTGAAAATAAAGTCTACCTAAAAAATGCCCCGCCCACAAGGCCTTCGGTGACTGGAGAAAGATAAAGACCATATTTAGAATGGGCAGGGAGGGAGGTGTGAGTCACTTTGGCAAGACCAGAGTCAGAGGATACTGCAGGAAGAGACCTAATGGGGCCTTCTTGTTTCTAATTGCAGGACCACAGCCAATCTGCACCATCTGAGCTCTGAAAGTGCAGCTCTGACCCAACCTGGGAGAGACCCCACTCCAGTCAATGCCCCATGGATGGGGGGGCTCCGTCTTACCTGTGCCATCCCCTAAGCACACACCTCTTTCTGGGCTCTGTGGAGCACCTAGGAGTGGAAGACAGGATTTCCTTCCTCAGTGAGAGGACTGAGGTGAGATAAGGGTAGGCATCCCCCCCACACACACCCAGAAGCCACAGAAATGCAGGAGGAACAGGGCTTCTGTCCTTCTAGGCGCTCCCACTCAGCCGGGTCTCCAGGCAAGAACACCAAGCATCCCCAGCCTGGCCCACCTGGCCCCAGCCCCTCACGCCCCGGGCATCACGGTGCAGCACTCACAGGTGGCATTGAGCTGGATGGTCCTCTCCACGATCACACCGCTTGTGGGGAACTTCACCTGACAGGTGAGATTGGTGCCATTGTCCTGGGGCTGTGGGGTGATGGTGAGCACTGAGGATAGGTGCGTCCTGGGGCCCAGGGAGGTGAGGGCGGCTGACGTCCAGGAGAAGATGGGGGGCGCGCCCTGCTCACAGGCCCAGGGCACAGAGCAGGTCAGGTTCCCGGGGCGGCCAGCCTCCAGCGTCGCAGAAATGAGGATGTGGGGTGTGTGGTTCAGGGCTGATGAAGAGAGGGGGAGACGGGGTCAGGAGAAGGGTTAGAGGTGCAGCCCTGAGATAAGCTTCAGGCTTTGGTCCAGCCCATCTTTCTGAACCCCCACTTGCTTTACCCCTGACCCCTCCCAGGAGGGGGTCCTATCCGAGTCCTGTCCTGGGGCTCCAGGTCCTTCCCCTGAGGCCTCTCCCGGACCCCACTCCTTACCCATCACATGCAAGGAGAGCTGGTTAGACGTCTAACTCCACAATGCCTTTCCTCTTTCCACGCGAAAAAAATATGAACCTTCATCCCTCCTCCTGGCGTCTCTGATGTCCAGGGAGCAATTGTTTCCATGATCCATTAGGAGGTTGAATCGGCCTTGGGTCTCTTCCTGAACTTTACGTTGTGAGTTGTTTGTGGCCACCGGGTTATGCAGCTTCACATCGGCTCCTTCCTGGAACCAGTAGCCGAAAGCTGGGACAGAGTTGTCCCTGGTGTCCCAGGGATAGTAGACGGAGCAGGGCACGTGGACACACAGGCCCTCCTGCACCGTCACAGACCCCGGCACCTGCAGCCAGTATCTCTTGTCCTGAGCCAGGGACCCTGCGGGGCAACGAGGGTCAGCCGCAGCCCCTGCCCCGCCCACCCCTCTCCCCACAGCCCACCCACCTGCCCACAGCAGGGACAGCAGCAGCGGCAGCATCTCTGAGACGGAGGGCTTCTGGGCATCCTGTGTGTGAAAAGAGAAGGGGCAGGAGAGAGGGAGGTAAGGCTGCGGGGAGACCCACGGGAAGCCGGGGAGGAACACGAGACCCAGCTGTTCACAGAAGAGGAACTGCAGAGCCGGAGCTCGGCCCCCCTCCGCACAGAGCGGACGGACACCCCTCGGTCCAGAGGCCCCGGAGACCTGCCCAGAGAGGAGCAGGCAAGGAGGACAGTCCTGTCCTGCCCCCCATCTCGGGTGGGTCCTTCCAGCACCGGAGCCTCTGAGGACACGGAGGCGTAGGACACGGTGAGCCTCCTAAGGTCCTCCCGTCTGAGCACCGCTGTCTGCACCAGGGAGCCACTCAGCTCCTGTCTTGACCTGGAGGGTCCCAGCCTCACCTAGAACCTCGGGTGGTTGGTCCTGCAAGATGTAGGGTTCTTTAGGGTCTGTGTGAGCGTCTGGGGCAGAAGACAAGAAGGGGCTCCTGGGTGATGTGAAAGGCAGCAGTCAATCATCCATTCCCTCCTTCACCCGACACTGAGCATCTTGGGCTGGTGACCTGGAGACCAGAAGACCAGAAGAGATACGGCTGGCCTGGTCCCTGCCCAGGAGATGCTCCTACGCGGGCCCATCACTTCCTCCCCAAACAGGCAGCACTGTCGGGCTTTAGAGCTGCATCAGTGGTGAGATTGCCGTGTGTCCGGCAGCATACTGGGTATTTTCTCAAAATATGCTATGGGATATTTTTTAACTTCTCCTATGCTGATTCACAAACTTTCAATGGCATCTTCAGAATAAAAATCATGTAGCATCTTCATGTAAAACAAACGGGCAAGCACATGTTCTGTCAGTGCAAAGGAAATTTCTTATTTTAACGAGCCTCCAAATTATTTATTTTTCGATTTAATTTCATTTTTATTTTGTATCGGAGTATAGTTGATTTACAATGTTGTGTTAGTTTCAGTTGTACAGCAAGGTGATTCAGTTATGCATATACATATATCTATTCTTTTCTAGACTTTTTTCCAATATAGGTTATTGCAGAATATTGAGTAGAGTTCCCTGTGCTATGCATTGTCCTTGTTGATTATCGATTTTACATATAGTGGTGTGTATGTGTTAGTCCCAAACTCCTAATTTATTCCTCCCCCATCCCCTTTCCCCTTTGGTAACCATAAGTTTGTTTTCTATGTCTGTGAGTCTGTTTCTGTTTTGTAAATAAATTCATTCGTATTATGTTTTAGATTCCACATGTAAGTGATATTATATAATGTTTGTCTCTGTCTGACTTACTTCACTTAGTATGATAATCTCTAGGTCCATCCATGTTGCTGCAAATAGCATTATTTCATTCTTTTTATGGCTAGGGAATATTCCACTATATATATTCATATATATATCTCACATCTTTATCCATTTATCTGTGGATGGACACTTAGGTTGCTTCCATGTCTTGGCTGTTGTGAGTAGAGCTGCTATGAACATTGGGTTGCATGTATCTTTTTGTTTTTTGTTTTTGTTTTTGTTTTTTGTCAGTACGCGGGCCTCTCAGTGTTGTGGCCTCTCCCGTTGCGGAGCACAGGCTCCGGACACGCAGGCCCAGCGGCCATGGCTCACGGGCCCAGCCGCTCCGTGGCATGTGGGATCTTCCCGGACCGGGGCACAAACCCGTGTCCCCTGCATTTGCAGGCGGACTCTCAACCACTGCGCAACCAGGGAAGCCCCTATTTTTAGTTTTTTAAGGAACCTCCATACTGTTCTCCATAGTGGCTGCACCAGTTTACATTTCCATCCACAGTGCAGAGGGGTTCCCTTTTCTTCACACCCTCTCCAGCATTTATTATTTGTAGACTTTTTGATGGTTGCCATTCTGACTGGTGTAAGGCGATACCTCATTGTAGTTTTGATTTGCATTTCCATGAGGATCCTTTTCAAATGAAAGTTCAATCCTATCTCTCCTCTCCTCAAAGGCTTCCGGATACTTGCATTGGCCTGGAAGCCCTTGGGATAATTGTCTCTTTGAACACAGAACCTGCTTTCTTCCACTTTCAAGTCTTGGCTCAAACATCACCTCGGGCACACTCTCAGAAATAGAAAATTGCCCCCAAATGTCACTTGTTCTCTCCCTGCCTGATGCTTCTCCAAACACATATTAGCATCAAACAGACTCAATATTTTTTCTTCTTTTTTAAAAATGTTTCTATCTTTCTTATATTCAGAAGGACAGCTTCTTGATGACAGAGATTTTAAAAAAAAGTTTTTTATTGAAACATAGTTATTTACAGTGTTGTGTTTAATGTCTGCTGTCCAGCAAAGTGGCTTAGTTATTCATATACATATAATACATATTCTTTTCATATTCTTTTCCATTATGGTTTATCACAGGATATTGACTATAGTTCCCTGTGCTGTACAGTAGGATCTTGTTTATCCATTCTATATATAATAGTTCACATCTGCTAACCCCAAACTCCCAATACATCCCCCCCCGCCCCCCAGGTAACAAGAAGCTTATTCTCTATGCTTGATGACAGAGATTTTTTTTTTTTTTTTTACGATACGCGGTCCTCGTACTTTTGTGGCCTCTCCCGTCGCGGAGCACAGGCTCCGGACGCGCAGGCTCAGCGGCCATGGCTCACAGGCGCAACCGCTCCGTGGCTTGTGGGATCTTCTCAGACTGGGGCACGAACCCACCTCCCCTGCATCGGCAGGAGGACTCTCAACCACTGCGCCACAGGGAAGCCCGATGACAGAGATTTTTGATGCTGTGATCACTGATGCCCCCTGGGAACCTCCAACAAGGGGGCACAGAGTAGATGTTCAATAGTTCTTGGCTGTGGAGAGGAAACACGGCTGTCCCTGCTGTGCAGCAAGTGGCTGGTAACGGTCTCTGCGAATAGTGCGGAGGCCTGTGTTTCCCAGGGAGATGGAGGCAGGAGGTGGGTGGCTTCAGAGACCCAGGGAAGAGATGAGGCTGCTGGAATGACTGGGGTCAGGATGGGAAGGAGACGGGCATCAGGACGAGCTGTGCTTAGGGAGAAGGATGGACAGCACGTAGTGATTATTGGATCCTGGAGAAGAGAAGCGGGGATGAAAGGGGCAAACCCCATCCTTCCTCCTGGCCTTAGGGATGGGGGCCACCTGGTCATCAGTGTGACAGGGAACCCAGCAGAGAAGTGGGTTTGGGGAGGAAGAGGGCAGCTCCACTTTGAGTACGCTGAGCGGAGCAGTCCTGGGGGCCATTCTGGGGCAGGTGTGCAGTGGGATGTTGGGTGGTAGGATGCCGACATCACTCACACAGAGGGGTAGCCTGGAATGGAGTTTGCAATAGACGCGCCCCCTGCCGGCCTGGCGTTTGCATCTGACGCGCCCCCTGCCCGCTTGGCGGCTTTCCTCCTGCGGGACGTCACTCTGAGCCAGAGAAGAGACCAGGCTCTGGTCAGATCGGGTGCCGCGGGCCCCAGACTCACCCTGTTCCTTGTTTAGGGGCTGGGGGATGACTGAGGTGGGAGAGGGCAGGGCCCCACAGACCCTCTAGAGCACAGCGGCTACCTTCAACCCTGACACTGGGCGGGGAGGAGCCCCTGCCCCAGGGGACTCCTCACCTGC